GTTTTTGGTAGATTTTTACGTGACTAACATAAGGCTACTGTGGAAGTGCCCATTTCGGTTACGACATTCGTTTATAACGACACTATTTTTAGGTCCCTTTGATGACGTTATAACCAAGTTCTACTGTATTTTAAAATACTGTATTATTTAATAATATAACCCTTTGTTTCATGATTTGAGTTGTTCTAGCTCAGTCAGTATAGTGACTGGCTGCAGGTTGTATGCCTGGGTTTCAGTTCCTACCAGCAGCAGCAATTTCTCTGTTCTCCGTGTTCACACCAGTTCTGGGGCAAATCTGTTCCCTGCCTTTGGAACCAAGGCTCTTTGTCTGAGGGCTGAGCTGACAGGGTGTGAAGCTTACCATTTACTTCCATCAGAGGCTGGATGACTGATTTCCAGCTGGGTCAGAGATTTTCTTCTTTGCCAGTATGTTCATACCAATTGAGGATCCCACCTGAACTGATTCTGTGGGAACCAGATACTCTTTGCTCAGGGATTAAGCAGATGGGATCTGAAGCTGACTGTTCACCTCTGGCTAGTGGAAATGTGTGGAGCTACACCTACACTCCCTTATACGTCTCCCAGACATGAAGCATGAATAAGGAGAGGGAATTCACCATTTACTTTTATTTCTTACTATGAAGGGTGAAGAAACAATTAAGAAACACTCTTAAGGAAAGAACTGAAAACATGAAAATGAAAAACTATGTGTACTCTAATACAAATATTATGTTTCTGGACATTATCCATCGTTCTGTTTTTATTTAAAACATAATGTTCCAGAGACTGGATTCTGTCTCCATCTTCAGGTGAAACCTACTCGGTTGGGTCCAGTCAGTAGAGCTAATCCCTCTCTCCAGATAATATTACAATTAAAGCTGGCTGGTAACAATGAAGAATAACATTTAAGAAGTTTTAATTCTAAGTCCATATTTTAATTAATGAATATTGCGTTCACACATGATATGTAATTTTTACATACAAAACAAACTCCGTGGTTTTAGTCTGCAAGCAAACTATACTGACCACAGTTTGTCGTCAAAGTTATAGCAGACAGAGGGTGTCGTGTGGTCGGAATAACAGATCCCCATGGCCGTTAATCTGGGTTTTCTAGACCAGAACAGTGAAACAATTTTGGCAAGGTAGATGTGCACCTGATGATGGCTGTATATGGCCGAAACATGTAGTGATAAAAAGCAGAACAAGATAAGTTGTATTTGAGACAGAAGTTTATGTGAAATGGCCCCTGTGCTTAATTAATTAAGTACTATTCCATCGAGGCGTATGGGGAAGTGGATGTATAGATCAACATTTTCTTGACCTTGGCACTAGCTGGAAGTGAGTGGTCAGCTTCATGCCCTGGTCGCTTTACTCCCGGAGAAAAAGCACTCATTCTGTTCTACTTTTATCTTCTCATTGGATCTGCTTTCGGCTTCATAACACATTGAGCTATGTAAGAGTTTGAAGTTACTGCTGCTAAAGAGGTAGTCAGAGTACAAGATTCATATGTGAAAACAAATATCTTAAGGAACCATATTTCTGGGCCTGTAATCATACCCAGAATTACTGAGTGTTATACACCATCGTGAGAACCCTTTAGAATCTACCAATAATCATAGTTTATCATTTTTGGATGCTGGGATTTATACAAGGCACTCTCATTATTCTTTGTTACCAAGGCTCTTTTTGAATAAGCTACAGTTTGCTCATAGATCACAAGCTGTAGTTACAGCAGTGTTCACTAAACAGACCAAAAACTGTATTCATTTATGATCAGTCTGTAAACATGGCTTTTGTTTACTGACTGGCCAAGCTATAGGAAATGACTAAATCTGTTTCTAGAAAGAAGAATTGGGATTCTTCTCTTTAAGTGTGCAGAATGGCTGAGAGGCCCACAAAACTTCTGATTAAAATGTATTAAGGGTCATTTGCCCGCAAATAAAAAAGTGGGTGGCAACAAAATTTTGTCACCTATCTCGAATCTAATGTAAAAGATGAGAATGCGTGGCGCTTTATACCCATACCATACAACATAAATATGGATATAAACTGTTCGTGCAGATATTACATTTTATTATAAATTAACTTTTCTTTATACATAAAGAAGCAAAGCAACAACTACTTTGGCAAATAACACATATACACTTGTTTTAATTACTTTTCCAGATTAATAGGATCAACCTCTGGTTCTGAAACAGACAAAAAGAAGGCTGTACAGTATATGACCTTTTATAAAATGACACATTTGATGAAGTGGGTGAAAGCAATCTGAACAGTGCTTTATGCGTGAAAACTAGCAACTAAAGTCCCTGGTGAGGTTTAGGTTTCAACTAGTGGTTTGAAGATTATGGTTTTCTGGGATATAATGATGTGCAGTTTGGCAGATAGGTACCAACACTCCACAATGGTGGCTCAGGTCAGGTCATGTGGGATCTGTGGTGGATAAAGTGGGATTGGGGCAGGTTTTCACTAAATAATTTGGTCTCCCCTACTAATTCTCATTCCAATCATCTGGGGCTGGTACAACAGGCTCAATAATGGCCAGTGTACCCTACAAATTAAAATACAAAAATTAGGTACACACATTTCAGAGAAATCTGCTGCTTTGATCTTCATAACAGAAGGTTTTGGGTTGAGTCCTTGAGAAGCTAGCAGTCACATGCCTAATCAAGATATTCCCTGACTTTGTAAAAGTCAGAGTCTTTATGATCAGTTTTAATATATTCTCCCATCTATGCCTAGATCTTGTAAGTCACTTCTTCCCTTCAGCTTTACTAACAGTTTGTATACATTTCTCATTGCCCTCATGCATGCTATATGTCTTTCTTATCTCATTCTCCTCTGTATCACTCTAATAACCTTTGTTGAAACATACACACTATGAATCTCTTCAACCTATATTCATATAAGAGACCAAGTCTGACACACAAAATTATAGGCTAGATGGGAAAACTAATTCTGAACTCTGTGTTATGAAGCATTCTCCCAAATTGACATGGTCTTAATTTCCTTGTCAACATAATTTTGGTCTGTTACTATCGTTTGCATTATCGCAACTTTTCCCCACTTTGTCCTGCATTCTCTTGGTAAGACATGAACATACAAGTCTGTGTTCACTTGGAGACCACCTCCCCACTAGCATCTAACAGCTTGTGTATTATTTTCTGTACTTTGTTAATGTTATGCCCAATAAAATTAACATCAGCAGCATAAATCAGAAGTGGATGTGTCCCTCGTCGTTTTCTTTAACTTAAAGAGACTGAAAACACAGGAATCTAGTTCTACAGTACTCACTGTTTTACAAAGGCATTCAAACTCTCATTTCGGTGCTTATGTGTAACACTGAGAACAGTATAAGACATGTCATAATGTACGAGTAATTTGTTAGTGATATTTTCCCCCCTTGGAAAAAGTATCGGAAATCAGATACTAGGAGTTAATGTGAAATGATGCAACTAATGACTGATGCAGGAATGGTAGACAGTGATTCTAAATGATATTTGTAGCCAATAACACAGAACTAAATTCTCCCATATTTACCTTTAAACTTAAATGCTGGGAACTGTGTCATGTCAACACCTTCGCCTCCACCGTATTGTTTTGCTACCTTTTCTAATTCTGTAGCCAACTCTCGTTCAATTTCAGGTGTTGGCTCAACAAGCTTTCCTCCTGCGGCACTAGAACAACATGTGAAAAAATGTATAGTTACCAGAGCCAACCTGTGATAAACAGTAACTGTATAAAGACTGAGCAAGACAAATTACCATGGACACTAGTTGGCAATAAAAATGTCTTTCCTTCTCTTCCATCCTTTCTTTATGTCCTCTACATTCAAAAATAGGGTGGAGAGGGAATCATACAAAACTTGTTGAACTCTACAACAATGCAGATTAACTCAACAACTGGAAATTCATAAGCCCGAGACATCTTGAAAGGCAGTTCTGAAGATGGTGTGTAACCTTAGCTTGTTCTATTATTTTGAACTCTGTCCACAGAGTTTTTTCAAACTCCAAGAAATTACTTCTGCTCTGGTTATCGTGAATGTGGGATGACAGTTATTATTTCATTGGGCCTGTTAAAGACAGCTAGTCTCAGTCATTGGACCAGGAACTAGGAACTCCCCCTCTTACACCTAACATTTGGAACAAACAGTTTCTAAATTGTTGTGATTTTGAGAACAAAATCTCAGACAATGGACAATATCCCTGTTCTAGAGCACCACACAATGAAGATGGAGTGTACAGTGAGGTTCGCATTCTAGCAGCTTTACTACCAAGGACATAGCCAGGATGTAGGGAAAAAAAACATTGGTGACTTGGAACTGGTCTAGATATGGTGGCAAAAGTCCATATGAAGTCAGTGGGAATCCATAAGATGCTCCTTGGACCACATAAACTTAGCAGTTACAGATGGAAGTTAGACTCAATACCTTTATTCTAATGTACATGACCCCGCTTTATTAATATGTGTATAACTTCATTTACCTGCTTTTTTTGGCATACTCGCGGACCTTATCAACAAAGAGTTGCTGAATTGGGTCTGTTGCTTTTTGTAAGACTGGAGCACATACTCCAATATTGCGCCTCAGGATTACATGAACCTGCTTCCCATTTGCACAAAGGTGAGAAACCAGCATCCTACAATACACAAATTTTCTTTGTAATGAACTCATCCAAAGTTTTCGAAAGGGCGTTCACAATTTTTGTTTAAGCGTAGTCTACAGTACTAGTTATTCTAAGCACCATTTTTACATTCAGTGCGCAACTAAATTTGCAGGATTTTCAGTAGATTACAACTTGACGCATGATTTGGCTTTGTAGAGATATTCAATAAATTAGCATCCATGTCTACAAAAAGTGAAATTCGTGACTGAAAATCCACTTCAAATTCTATGGATACGTATCTAATAATCATATTATAATGGCCAAATGACAATATTACTAAAGCATGGTATGTATATGACTAGGCGCAATGCAATAAGTGCAGAAAAATTACTCATATTCATTATTTTGTGAAAATGTTTCACCTTGCTCTGTTCTCTTCCAATCAGCTGCTGAATCCAATATGGCGGAAGGAAGTTGGAAATACATTCTACAAACGATGCCTACTTTCATTTTCAAGTTGTTCTAAAGTCAACAGATTAAGTGTAATTGTGAAACAAAAATTACGATTTCTGAATAACATCTGAAATTATATTTCCAAACGTGTAATGTGATTAACAATTGATTTTAATTTTACCCATCTTCCCAAACTAGCTCCATTCATACGTCACAAGCAGCATGGGACGTTTGACCAATCGTATGCCATGTTTTCATTCATTCATTCATTGGTTTCGGCAGCCATAATCTTATGGCTTTATGTTGTGAAGATTACTATTGCGAGCGTGTGTGTGTGCATTTGCTGTAGTTCTGTTTATAGCCGTATCAGAAGTTGTACATTTGTACATAATTTGAACAGCAAGAGTGAGAACAACGTTTGCTTGGCTTTAAATATACAAATTGGCCTGGTGAGTACCAAGAAGCAGTATATACAATTATATTGTTACATGTTTTTGTAACAGAGTATATTATGAGTGCGGTGGGAGAGAATTCCAATTTGAAATTGTTACATGGAGATGTTTCTCACTGTTATGCGACATACACTGGGCAGGAGACGTATAAACGCGTTACTTTACAGGGATTATGGGTGGTATTATCAGATATTGTGCAACAGAAAGAAGTAACGTTCTTTGTAAGCAAATGACCAATGTCAAGGGCCCTATCACAAATGTTTTCTTCTGGCATAATAAGATAATACTGCAGTTTCGTCGAATTTAATATGCCCAATTGGTGACTCATTGCGATGCACTACAGTGCGTCGTTCTTCACTATGTCAAATTTGACAGACCAAATGCGCGGGTATATTTTGAAACAGTCGCCCATGGAATTCCTTCTCCGTTTGATTCACGCATCTTAAGAATTGTAATTCTTGCGCTTTGCATTTTGAAAGGGGGACTAATGTTTGGAATAATAGTATTTTGGAGCATCATGTGGCGGTGGTAGATTTCTTAACCAACGTAGACAGTTTGGCGCATTGAGCCAAGTCCGTCCAATACACCTTACCAATTCGACTTCACGATTGGGCATGCGGGTAGTGCATCATGAATGTTATGAAGTAGACGCAGGTTCCAGACGCCGTGAGCAGTAGAGCCAAATGATTAAAGCTGCGGATATAATTGGCCTGGAGTGAACGAAATACCACGATGAGACTTGTTTTAAGATACCCAGACAAGATAACGGGCTAAGGCTTCCTATACCTGGAGTGGTTTGGAGCCACAACTTAGCGCACTGTGGAGAAATTCTTATTACCTGTATGAAGACTGTTGATAGGAAACTTTAGGAAGCCTTGTTTGACTAAATTGTGATGCCAGCACGTGCCGTCTCTCTTCTGCCCAAAGGAAAGTATACACGAGATCAACGCATGGAAAGATAACTGATTAATACCTATCAACACGGAGAAGGCTTATGTGCATGTAAAGTGCCAAGTATATAAAATAAGACAATGACTTAACACCGAGATAATAGGAAATAAGTACATGTAGAAGTGTGTGAAAATGTGTAGAAGTGTGTAATAGTACTAAAAATAACTTACAGGAAACCTGAAAAGATAAGATGTTAAATGTGGTGATAAATTGTCTTAAGACATAAGTAAGAATATGTGTTATAATATGAATTATAATTGAAAGGAATTTATGAATGAATATACATAATGCTGGTCTGATGCGCGTGTGAAAGAAACAAAATAATACTAGGGAAGGGGGGGGGGAATGAAAGGTAATGCGGACCGCAAGGCAGATAATGTGCGAAATCAAAGTTTATGAGTAGTGAACGGCGGAAAATTTCCAGAAGTCTTTAGGGACTGAAGCACAACGTAATTATTAAACTCGATGTCACGTGTGCTTTGTACTGAAAGTATGTAATAGGTAACCCTCGTTTTACTAGAATTCGATTTACGAATTTCCTTTTCAAGGATGCATGGTAGTTTTTACTATTTTTCATTTAAGGAACCTCATTTTCACTACAACTAACGTTCATAAGTTCGGCAACTTTTGCATACAAAGTACGTGGATAATTTTCTGGATAATCGGCTCACGGATGGCGGTGAGGTCAGCCTTACTCTCCGTCCGCCCTTAACCCCCAGGAAGATTTCTGGTGCCCATTTCTGTTAGAGGCAGAGCCGTAGTGCGGCTGGAAGGATTAGGTCAATTGAAAAATCCAATGCCATCGGGAATCGAACCCGTGACCTTCCGGCTAGTAGCATGGTGCCTCAACCAACTACACTACCGCGTACCCCAACAACAATAATAATAATTTCTGGATAATCGGCTCACGGATGGCGGTGAGGTCAGCCTTACGCTCCGGCCGCCCTTAACTCCCAGGAAGATTTCTGGTGCTCATTTCTGTTAAGAGGCTGAGTCGACCCCAGAGCCGTAGTGCGGCTGGAAGGATTAGATCAACTGAAAAATCCAATGGCATCGGGAATCGAACCCGTGACCTTCCGACTTGTAGCATGGTGCCTCAACCAACTACACCACCGCGTGCCTCAATAATAATAATAATAATAAATTATTTATGTTTTCACGTGATTACTTATCGGCCCAAAGGCCAAATGTAGAGTGAGAACGAGCAAAAATAAAGAACAAAGAAACACCTACCCATAAACGAAAAACAAAACAAAGCAACATGTATCATTTTGACAATAATGAGAATTCAGTAAGTGCAATCACGCGAGCCAGTGTGCTATAAAAAAGAATATATATATACGTACTACATATTAAATACAATTTAATATTTTAATACATTAAGAAAGTACCATCTTAAAATATGATTCGCAGAAACAGGTTTGGTTCCAAATACGTCATAGTCCGTACAAACAGCATTATCATCTGAAGCGCGTCGAGCAGGAGGGTTCTTGTTTGAAGAGCTTACATATTCGGGAGAGGAACTCGCAGACGAACAGTTCCTAAAAGAGGAAAGCATCTAAAAACAAGATGAACTTTAATAAGAAGAGCGTATCAAGGTGGTACCTCCTCTTACGCAAGGTGTGCAGTTTTGAGTACCCCGAAGCAACAGCAATTCCATTCAGACAATTCTTTGCTTACACTTACCCTGCAGCCAAAGGCCAATTATAAAGTAAGCACTAGAAAGTAGATAAACAAAACAAATACAAACAATAGATCAAACAAGTCAGCTTGTACCATTTGGACAATAATATTTCAAGTAGTGCAGTCACATCAACCATTAAGAACTATGATGATGATGATGATGATGATGCAATGAATAGGGAAATATTGAAAAACAATTATTTGTTCACAGTCCTAATGAGGCACGCGGTAGCGTAGTTGGTTGAGGCACTATGCTACAAGCCGGAAAGTCTCGGGATCGAATCCCGTTGAGGTCATTGGATTTTTTCAATTGACCTAATCTTTCCAGCCACACTATGGCCCTGGCGTCGACTCAGCCTCTAAAAGAAATGAGTACCAGGAATCTTCCTGAGGGTAAAGGGCTGCCGGTGCGTAAGGCTGACAACCTCACTGCCATCTTTCAGCCGATTGTCTAGAATATGTGGGAACCTGAACGTCTCACAACCCTATGGGCCTCCACGGCCTGTTACAGGAATAGCTTTACTTTCCAGTCCTAATACTGGTAAACACGGACGTCTTGACGGCTGATAGGTACCACTGACGTTGTGGAAGCTGGGATAGTTAAGCAGAAAGCGACTGTGCTACCGGCCGGGTGACCGACGAATCGGGGTTCGCTTCTCGGCAGAGGCGTGAGATTTTTCTAATAGCATCCAGATCAGCTCTGGGGCTCACCCATCCGCTTCTGCAATGGGTCCCTGGGGGTGGGATTGTTTCCCCGCGGAGTAAAGCGGCTGGAGGATGAAAGTGACCAAACACCTCATCCCTTGCCGAGGGTAAGAATGGTGAAGCTATACCTTCACTGCCCCGTAAGTCTTCTTGGCATGGCTATTAACTGCTGGGATATCTACTGTACTGTGTCTGTCTGTCTGTCAGTCAGTGGTTGTACAGCCCCTGTGGACCTTGGCCTCTTTTTCAGTTTCTTAATCTGTACACAGTCTGTGACCGCCTCTGTGGTATAGTGGTCAGAGGTCCTGGCTAGAGATCCAGAGGTCTCGGGCTTAATTCCCGGCGCTACCAGATTTTCTGAGAAGCAGTGGGTCTCAAACGGGGTCCAATCAGCCTCATGAGGATAACTAAGGAGCTATTTCAAGGAAATAGCGGTTCCGGTCTAGAAAACCGAGATTAGCGGCCGTGGGGATCAGTTGCGCTGACCACGCGACACCCTCTATCCGCAGTAGTTGGCAGTAACTTCGCCGACAAGCGGCGGTCACTCGGTCGGTATAGTTCGCTTGCGGACTATAGGCCACAGAGTTTCTTTATTTGTACACAGTCGGTAGGACTCCTTGGATGGGTGATCAGCCGTTGCAAGATCTCCACCTGCACACAGAACAACATAAACACAGACATTCATGCCTCGAGTGGGATTGGAACCCACGATTTCAGTATTCAAGCGGGCCAAGACAGTTCATGCTTTAGACCGCGCGGCCACTGTAATCGGCCAATGATTTTACTACTCGCGTTATAAGCACAGTTGAAGTTTCTGACCTATAACCCCTAAGAGGGCAGTGGTTTAACGAATTGAGGCATTAATTGTCACTTGATATTTGTAGTAGCAGAACAGAGGGAAGTAGTGTGTGGAGTTGGCATAAGAATGAATGCAGATATGGAAACTTGGGTTTATATACGTCAGAATCATGATAATTTCAGCAACAGGACCCCCCATGCGTGATCATGGCTTAGCGCTTAATTAATTAAGCACAGAGTTACCATAAGAGGTAAATTGTGGTGACTGGTATTTGGCAACTCCAGACTGTAAATGGTAAAGTTGTCCCTGCGCTTAATTTATTAAGCACCACGCCATGAGGACGTGTGGGGGAGTGGAGGTATAGCTCCGCTATTCCTATCCTCATCCCTAGATTGAGATGAGTGGTCAGCATCACGCACCTGACCGTTTACTCCCGGGAGGGAATGGACGGTACACCTTATATAGGAGGCTGGGTGAACCCC